CGACATTGGCCAGTTCCCCGTCGGCAAAACCGGTTAAATAGTGCGTGCCCACGACCACAGAAGGTACAACACCGTCCAAACAATGCGCCGCTGTCAAAACGACGTTGGGGGCGATCAGACTGCCGCCGCAAAAGGTCTCACCAACGGGCGACTTCTTGATCCCAACCACATAACGGTGTCTGCCGAATTGGGCTTCCTGGCCCCCAACGATTTCGAAACCGTCGCCAGGGGCCTCATCGCCCCAAGCGACTTTGGCTGGGACAACTTGGTCTTGAGCCAAGGCAGCGACGGCCACGGTGAAAGTGAGAAGGAGTGCGAACTTCATGATGGAAATTGGAAAATGAATGGTCATTCATCTAGAGCCAAGTCAATCAATCTTTACGTGAGACTGTGATTGCACTATTTATAGGGTAGCAAACCAAGTACCAAGGTTAACCAAATGGATGATTGCGATGTGTACAACATACATTATCCAACTCTCATCATTAACCCGCTAGTCAGTCATAAATATCCAACAGCGTGGCCGCTATTCTTGCCAGAAAACCCGTTGTATCGCACTTTCAAAGGATGAAGGATCCATATTGAAGTAGCACTTGCAGTACGGTGGATTGATACACTACTACACCTTTTTGCAGTACTCGGAGTACGTGCTTTGAAGTATTTATATGGATTTCAAATATCCGTAATAGTATCTATCATGTGTCGTCCAAACGTCATCCCACATTTATATTAGGTCATACATATCCTAATTAGTAGCGATCACTGTGGAACTTCAACAGTAAGTGTCCTGTAAGATTGGGCTTTTTGACATAATTAATCGGATGCTGGGTGAAAATATATTGACAAAAACTGAAAATATACGATATTTGGTGATGGTGAAATATAAACGTAAAGTTTGAGGTTGCCACGAAATTAACAGTAAATGGAGGTAACCGAAATATATCGGTGGTCTCGTAAAATTTACTGCAAGCTAAGCGAATTATAGTGAAAAACAGCTGAAATTAACCGCAAAACGGTGTAGTAGTGTATCAATCCACCGTACTGCAAGTGCTACTTCAATATGGATCCTTCATCCTTTGAAAGTGCGATACAACGGGTTTTCTGGCAAGAATAGCGGCCACGCTGTTGCATATTTATGACTGACTAGCGGGTTAATGATGAGAGTTGGATAATGTATGTTGTACACATCGCAATCATCCATTTGGTTAACCTTGGTACTTGGTTTGCTACCCTATAAATAGTGCAATCACAGTCTCACGTAAAGATTGATTGACTTGGCTCTAGATGAATGACCATTCATTTTCCAATTTCCATCATGAAGTTCGCACTCCTTCTCACTTTCACCGTGGCCGTCGCTGCCTTGGCTCAAGACCAAGTTGTCCCAGCCAAAGTCGCTTGGGGCGATGAGGCCCCTGGCGACGGTTTCGAAATCGTTGGGGGCCAGGAAGCCCAATTCGGCAGACACCGTTATGTGGTTGGGATCAAGAAGTCGCCCGTTGGTGAGACCTTTTGCGGCGGCAGTCTGATCGCCCCCAACGTCGTTTTGACAGCGGCGCATTGTTTGGACGGTGTTGTACCTTCTGTGGTCGTGGGCACGCACTATTTAACCGGTTTTGCCGACGGGGAACTGGCCAATGTCACCGAGAAAATCAAACACCCCAATGGCACCGACGTGGGCATCATAATCTTGGACCACAACATCTCGATCACCCAACCTGTTGCGGTGTCGTTTGAATTCGTTCCGGCGGACGTGCTCACTTGGGTACGCGGCTGGGGAAACATCTGGCATAATGGCCCCCCATCTCGAGTGCTCAAGGAGGTCAGCGTCACGACATGGAACAACACCAGGGCCTCAGCTGCGCTCAACCGTTACAGGCGAGTGACTGATACGATGTTGGGTGCAGGGGTGGAAGGAGAAAACTCCTGTCACGGTGACTCTGGGGGACCACTGACCATCGAAGAAAACGGTACCGTGCGATTGGTGGGGGTGGTCAGCTGGGGCTTTAAATGTGGTCTGCTCGACACGCCAGGTATCTATGAACGCGTCAGCGCTGCTCGTGCCTTCATTGAACCGTACTTGCCGAATTAAATCAAGCTTGTGCGTGCCATAATGAAAGCGACATGGCCAACATACACCCACTTGGTTGAACATACAACCGCCTTGGTTATGGAAGGCCAAACTCGCTCGTGTAGTGTTTGTGGTAAACATCGTTAATTGATGAATAACCATCATGGTGCAGCATCTGAATAGCGCCGCGGGATTCGCGATATAGAAGCACGCAAAGCCATTCTGCCAGTGGAATATATCTACTTTTGTATGCTCGTTGCAATCTCTTGCATCATTGACAAACTATAGTCACAGGGAGAACGTGTGCTAGTGGCACTGAACGATCTCTGCACGAAACGTATGCTGGGATTCATAAAGTTGTGTTTATTTTAAACTGTGAAGCGACGTGGAGAAGCACTGACCGTTGGAAGAACCGAACTGGGGGCGACGGAGGCGAAGAGTGCACGGGATACGTACTATATATGAGGTGGGAATGACTGGGTGAAACATTTTTTCTGGGCAAAACACTGTCGACTGGGTGACCGTGTCCAACAACAAAGCGTATGCGGATAGTACGATCGTATGTTGCGCAGTGTATCAATCCATCGTAAGTGCTATGTACTTCAATGTGGGTCCTTCATCCTCTGAAAGTGCGATACGGTAGCGGGTTTTTCTGGCTAGAATGTCGGCCACGCTGTTGGATACTACTACACTCTGCTATGCAAATATTGCATGCGTACATGCAGTACTATACAAATTCTAAGTATGAGGAATCTAAATATAATAAGTTTTACACATCCATGTTCAAAGTGCCTAACAGACTTGCAACTTCCTCTAACCTGTCTTCTTCCTCAAGCCGCAAATTCGTCATGGATAGTGCCAATTCGTCCTCGGCGTTCACTTTGCTTCGAGGGATCTCATAACGGTTGCAGCCATTCGCCTCAATTATCACGTTCATGGAACGACGCAGTGTCATGAATGTCTTCTCCAAAGTTACAGGGGAAAGCAGCATAAAAGAGCACTTGACGGCAGCAATGAGCTCTTCCATTGTTCGGCATTCCAGGGTCTGCTTGAGGGCTTGAATCGAGTTTAAAAAGCCCAGATTTAGAACGTTGAGATCCGGCGACTACGCCGGTTGGTTTTCAATGCGAATGTCCCAGCCACCGTGTTGCTCAGCATCCACAAACTCAGCATCGCCAGATGGAATGTGGTGACGATCGTTATCGTGTTGGAGGATGATGCGGCCATTTTCGACTCCCGCGGGCCAAATCCACTTCCTCTTGATGGCTGGCACCACCATGGCCACGAGCATCCGCCGATTGACATCCTTAGTCCCAGTGATACTCGTCAGGACCTCAGTTCCAGCAGGGCGATTGCGACTAGTACGGGCAGAGGGCATGCGCTCGGTAATTTCCCAGCATCCAATCTTGCCGTCCCAATCGTTGCGCGGTCGTGCAACCGCAACAAAAAACATCACTTTGGAGATGTGGGACTTGGACTGCAGTTGCCTTGGAACGACTGTTTCATCCTTCCACAAGAGGAATTTAGGGGCTCTTCCAAGTACCGTCATACTTTAAACCCAAAATGCGTTCCCAAGTAAGTTTGTCGTTATTTGATCGCACTTTGGTCGTGCTTTTGTCGTGTTTTCTGCTTCCACGTGATGGTTTTGTCGTGTTTGGGTCCATCGTATTTTGAGGATTTCAGCGCACACGGATTGGACAAATCTATCCAATCACAGTGGCATATGCTTACATACTAATTTTCATATAAATACGAATCTGCTTGCTCGCCAGCAAAATTTGTGGCAGAGGTGGCGACATGCCCTATGTCCAAGCACAAGAGCGCGCTAGGTCATACGAGTCGTAGGAACATGTAGATTGATCAGAAGCACGATAACAATGCCTAGCTATAGCTTTGAAGTCTCCGCCATAATGATCTGCAGGCTCTCCTCGTACATAAGAGCGTCGAGCCGTGCCGTGCCGCGAGCAAGACATGGCACGACTCGCTGTTACCACAGGTATCGTCATGGCTGCCAAAGCGTTTACAGCGGTACGGTGGCATGACCCCAAAGGTATCCTGCGGAAGTGGGATTGATTTCATTTGCCATTAGTGGGCGTGTTGGGAAAAGATTATTTCCGAGCGAGGCTGCATTTTAGAGCGTACTTAGACTCTTGCAGTCTTTTCGAGCGTACTTAGTTGGGACATAAGCTGTTGTGATGGAGTGGATTGTTTTAGAGCATTACGCATTACGGATACTGTATTATCTAATGAACATCCCTCAGTTTCCACTGATACAAACCGGATTGATAGTGAAGTTAAGATATTCCCAAGTGGGATAAACTGGGACAATGGATGCCTTTTGGATACACAACACACAGTCCACAAAGAGTTTGCAAATTGGCAATCGTTTGCGATAGCAAACGATTGTTAATGCGCAAACCCCGGGCATAGCATTACACGTACGTTATCCGGGGTGGAGACGTAGTCTCCGTGGGGGAAAGGGTACGGTTGTGGTGAAAGAATGCTGGGGCTAGTGACCATGATGCAGTCAACAATTATTGTTTGTGATGCAGTGGGATAAATTCGATGATTGGGTATATCCCCACGGATAATATCATACTCGTACATACTACGTAGTATTAATAGTAGTTAACACTTAGGAGTAAGTACTGATTTCCCCCCAGTTCGAAACGGCTGCTTACAGTTATGAACAAATTTCACAGTAAATGCATTTTCAAGGTTATCAACTTTAACAGCACTACTCGTGGCCAACAATCCTGGGATTCTGCAGTCCGGCTTCTCGGTGTAGGATCCCAGTACGGGACAAGCAGTTCACTATTGTGGATTGCGAGACATCGTGCCAGGCATCTTTGGCCCACGCCATGGCGTCAACAAGGGGGACTTCGTACAGTTTTTCCTGGCGGCCAGCCATGACCGCGTCGATTTGCTCCAGGGCGTTCTGAAGCTGGCGTTGCTTGACTGCGCTTTAAAAGAAGCAATGATCCCAGCGTCCTGGGGTAGAAGGTACGCTGTCGTGTTAGGTGGCAGCATCTTCAAACTGACATTTGTTAGGACGGTGTCCTCCTTCACCTTGTGCGGCGACGCGTTGTCGACAAGAAGCAAAACCCGTCGGTTTGCCGCCTCCATCCTTGCGTTGAACAATCGCATGTACTTGTCGAAAATGGCTCCATTCATCCAGGCCTCCTTACTCGATGTGTAGTCGAAGCCAAGATTTTCAGCAGTTTGGGCCGTTGAAGCATCGGGGACGGACTTCACTGCCGATGACGAGGGGCTCAACGAGGTGCGAGCCGTCGGCGTCCCGTGGTGAGGGCGAGGGTAATCCTATTCTTCGACTTCTTGGTACCCGGGACACGGCTGCGTGTGATTGATCGGTGCGGCGACATGCATCAAAAATAGGAAGTTTCGTCCATGTTGTACACGTCACTGACCTCGTAACCTGTAGTTGCCTCCAGCATTTTTTCGCGTCCTTGGTCAACGGCTTCTTGCGGCGTTGATCCTGCTTCGACGTGTTGTCGCTTGCTGGTTAGACCGTGCTTGCGTTGAAACTTGTAAAGCCATCCTTTGGAGAATTTAAGCGGCTAGTTTGTTACCAATTCGTACTCGTCATAGTACGCTTTTGCTTGTTTGCGAATTAGCTCACCAGTCACGCACACACCCAGTTCTTCACACCGTAGTACCCATGAGAGGACCTTGGCTTCGAGGTCGGGCATGGCTACACCTCGGTCCATTCAGCGTGACTTGAGATCGCTTCGTTGGCTCTTCGTGTCGTGCCTCTGGTATTCCCAACCGTTGATTTGGTTGGAGGTGATATCAACTTAAACGCATCCATCGCCCACACAGCCAATTCGGTGTACGTGGCGTTGGGTTTCTTCAAATGCTCAGCGTACAAGTTATGCTTGTCCGCCAAGAACATGCGCGCCTTCATTGTTCGGAATGAAACGCCCAAAAATTTGAATGTTTGAAACTATCCCCGTGAAATTTATATTATACGTTTATAAACACAATTCATTTTGCCCCGTTTCGAACTGGGGGGGAAATCAGTATCATTAAATGCACCACACTTTACTCAGCATTGGCATTTTAATAGCCATATGATCTTATTTGCTCGGAAATTCACCAATGACTAACACATGTTCTTGTGCCTATTAAGTGCGCTCGGAAAGTGTCTCTCTGGACTACCGAATTTACCGTACATCTGTAACTCCAATTTTTGACCATGAAGCTGTAACCATGAAAATTTCCAATACTTTGTTCAAGATAAAAAAAAGTCAGATCTGATTAAGCAAACTTGAGCTTTACCATTGACTTGTAACTACCCAGCCATGATTGGATATTATTTAACCAGTAAAACCATGTTAAAGTCAAATTTCAATTTGCTTCGGGATGGAATTGAAGGCCGTCGACATTGTTGGCTGCTCGAGCGGCGAAGGGACTCGAAGCTGCCCTGCACACGAGGTTTGCGGTGACAGTCTGGCCGTCAACGATGTGGTTGTGTTTCGATGCGAGGTCATGCGATTGAATGCTGATGGGCTCGAAGAAACCCTCAAGGTTTACAAGATTATTGGTGCGGAGCAACTCTGCCATGTCGGCTTTCTTCCCCGTCGTTTGGTCAACACGAAAGCCAAGTATGCGAACAAATTTGCAATTGTTGTAGAAGACTACAGAGTCGACAACAGTGCTTCGAAACGCAATCGATCGAATAGGTGCATTGGACTTGTAAGAGCTGTACTGATAACAAGAAGTACCGGGAATAATTTCAGATTCAGTGCCAACGCTGGCCAAGGATCGGTTAATTCCTGCAGTCTTGTGGCATGCAAAATCATCCCACAATAGAAGGCTGGCTTCCGTCCCAACAACATGAGGCTTCCAAACCGTTTGGAACCACTTCTCCGTAAGCGCTTCATCCATCCAGGCCTTGTGTTGGCACGCTGCAAACATACCTTCTGGCACAACACAATCCAAGCTCGACTCAATGCGAGCCCCGGGGACACCTTTAAATACAACAAAAGGCGGCAACTTCGTACCGTCTGCCGCAATCGCAAGACAAACAGTTACACGCGCGTTTGTGGACGTACACTTACGCGCCGACACAGTACGGGCACCCTTCTTGGCGATGGCGGTCTTGATTTCGGGTTGAAAGGGCACAGGGGTTTCATCCATATTTACAAAGAACCGTTAGGGTTCACAGTTGCCCGCGAGGCAATGAGGGTCTTGTCTTTGACCCAACGTGACACTTGGCCTGTCTGCACGCCGAAGGCCTTGCCTATTGCATAGAATGTCTTGGCAGGCCCAAGTGCAGCCTCGTAAGCTTGAATGACTTTGACTTTGAAGCGTAAGGATATAACCTTGCGCTTCCCTGTCTTGGAGCGGCTACGTGGTGGTTCTGCAGTCATTTGGCCTGTGACGTGTATGTCGTGCACTTTGAATAAATGTGAAACCGCACGAAACATTTTGTCCAATCATAGTTATTCCAATGCGCGGAAACAATACTGGTATATATTTCAGCTTTACCATTGAGTTGTAACTATTTCGGAAACATTTTGGGGGTTACAGATGTACGGTAAATTCGGTATTTTGCTCGAAATCGATCCATTCTAAGGCGTGCTCGGAAATGCTCCATCATTTGCTCGAAAAAAATGCGCACCCGGGTGTGTTCTCGTCAACGGCCCCACCAGGAACAGTGAAATCAATCCCACTTCCGCAGGATACCTTTGGGGTCATGCCACCGTACCGCTGTAAACGCTTTGGCAGCCATGACGATACCTGTGGTAACAGCGAGTCGTGCCATGTCTTGCTCGCGGCACGGCACGGCTCGACGCTCTTATGTACGAGGAGAGCCTGCAGATCATTATGGCGGAGACTTCAAAGCTATAGCTAGGCATTGTTATCGTGCTTCTGACCAATCTACATGTTCCTACGACTCGTATGACCTAGCGCGCTCTTGTGCTTGGACATAGGGCATGTCGCCACCTCTGCCACAAATTTTGCTGGCGAGCAAGCAGATTCGTATTTATATGAAAATTAGTATGTAAGCATATGCCACTGTGATTGGATAGATTTGTCCAATCCGTGTGCGCTGAAATCCTCAAAATATGATGGACCCAAACACGACAAAACCATCACTAGCCAATCATGTGGACCAAAGTGCGATCAAATAACGACAAACTTACTTGGGAACGCATTTTGGGTTTAAAGTTCGACGGTACTTGGAAGAGCCCCTTATGACGCCAAGTTCAAGAAGGGGCACTTGGCCGTTCTTGCATTGGCCTTCTTCGCCGAGGTTCGGTCACTTACGGATAATATCCGGTGTTCGTTTTCTGTAGAAGCCGGACTGTTTCTGCCCAATCATAGGTCAGCTAAGCAGTCCGTTAATGATCACTTTTGGTTTTGTCCCTCTTCAGTGCAACCTACTTCCTCGCCCCTCTTGACAGGCTATGGGCCTCCTCCTTTCCTCTGTGCAGCCGTTCATGGGCACCCCACTCGACGATCTCCGACCTTAGGCCTATACCTTGCAGAACACGGACTTCTTGTCCCAAGCGACATTGCTGAGTTCTACTCCACGCAGGACTATGTCTCTCAAGGAAATCTCATCGATGCGCTCAGTATCAACAAGATGTACCTCGAGCTTGACCAAGTCGAGTCGAGCACTCTGAGCTCTATGTTGCGGACCCGAAGTTCACAAATTAGAGTTCACACACTCTCCGTGTAACTCATTGGCCTCGTCAAACGCTACCGTGTGTCTATTGCCGCCGCCGTCGTTGACTCCAATGGATTCATCGGCGATCTCGTCCGTTGACTTCCACCACCATATCTGGAATTACTACACTCTGTGTGCGATGTCGGACACCTTTGATGGTGACAAGGAATTATGGGAAGTCGTGACGAACTCAGTGGCCACCGCGAGCACCGCCAACCATTCCGTTGTCGTCGCTGATGTTTGGACCTCTCTTCGGCGAATTATTACCATTCGCCTCCAACGAGCGTCTGCTCTGGGTGATAAAAGTTATGCCGCTACGCTTGAAACGCGTACCCTGCTTGCAGCCGTCACGTATGCACTTGCGGACCCTGCGCCACCACCACAAGCGATTATGCAAGCCGATGGCTCAGTTCATGTTATGAACGCTTTCACTCTCCCAAGCTATGCTCACCGTGATTATGTCAATTACCCCGGCATGTCCTGCTTCTACTAAGGCGTTGTCAATCACACGCTTCCCGCGTGTCCCACCCTCAAGTTGGAATATGCACTATGCATCTTGGATTTGATATGCACTATGCATCTTGGATTTGACAGCACCGTCTTTGACAAACATGGCTCTGCCTTCCAAAAGAAGCTCAAACGCGATTATGTCACTCCGTCGCGTGCTATCCAACGTCCTCATGATGACCGCGATGATTGCGATGGGCCTAGTGGCAACCAGGGCTCTAATAGCCAACATGGATGGAGACCAAGTTCCTCTAGTAGTCCTGAAAATGGAGGGTGGAACAACAATCGGGGCAACAGCTATGACAACAACCGCGACCGCAACCGTGACCGCCAACAAGACCAAGGTTACGGCCGCACTTATTGTGGAGGTCGTAATGACCAGGCTGGTATTGCTGCGCGTGTAGCCGCTCGTCCATTTATTGATGAAGGCAATCACCTCAATCGCATTGCCAACACCCACATCCTATCCCACCACTTTTTGCCTCCCTCTGCCCTCAACCGGGTCCTCCAGCGTCCCAACCCACCATCGGTTCTACCAAAGGTGTTTCAACCGGGCTCTGCCCCACTCTGCGATGTCTTTGCATCACCACCGCAGGAGCCGCCGCTTATTGCGGCTACTACCCTCGTTCCCATCACTGATGCACCGGGCGAGCTCCTCGACCACTTCGCGTCTCTTGTGGATGCCGGCGACCTAGACTTCGCTGAATTTCCTTCCACAGAGGTACTTATTACCGAGCGTTTGCCCCTCTACCCACCACGTCCATTGCTCCGAATTCCTGCGAACCCAAACAAAGTGGATCTTCCACTGTTCCCATCCAGTGCCTTCTCGGCCACACGCAGCGATATCATTACGCGGCGTCGGAAACTCCTATCCAGGTGTTTTTCCAACTGCCCCCAAGATGTGTGGATGGTGTCCGTTCCCATCCTCCATTCCAAGTTGTTGGTGGACAAGGCGTTTTCGCCCTTTATGCGGACCTACGCTACTGTGAAAGCGACCCCGGTGACCCGCCCCTACCCATGTCGGTGACTTATCCTCAAAACGACTCGCCCGCTCTGCGAGAACATTGGATCGTTGACTCCGGCGCCTCTGCCTCATGCACCACCAACCGAGATTATTTCTCCAACTACGTCCCTTGTGCACTGTCTATTACAGCCTGGAACGGCGCCCACCTTCCTATCATTGGCTGTGACCCTATTTCATTGGCTGTGGACATGTCGTCCCGTGACCAAGTCGACGATATTCATTCATGTGCTCTACGCCTCACCTTTGGCCTACATTGCCCTGAACTACAGTTCAATCTATTCTCGGTTCGCCAAGCGACGGATGAAGGCATCTCAGTCCGTTTTACGGCTCGCGACATGTGCGAAATTACCACCACTCTTGGTGATGTGCTTCGTGCACCTAACAACGCCATGGGTCTATACTATTTTCCCTGTCAGCCCAAGTGCGAGCCATCTACCGATCCGCACCGTGGCGAGTACATCCATCCGGGCCAAATGGTCATGCTTACTGGCATGATGACCACCTTTGAGACCTCTCTGCGGAAGTTCTCCTCGACCTACAGTGGATTTTTCACTTTTTAACGATCAATTGCACATGTTTGCATATGCGTCTGTGTTGCGCTATGCGCCAATTATTCAACGACCATATATGGTCTCCAAGCCAAAACCGTTCTACCCAATTACCCCGGACTATGTCTTCATGAGTGTAGCCCACGTTATGTTTGTTTCACACACTCCTACACCTGGCTATGACACCACTACTGTTCCAATCGACTGCCTAACTAGTCTCGTGGCTAGCTCCAAGCTCACCGCAGCTAGCCTTTCGCACCTATGGCACCGTCGTCTCGGCCATCCAGGAGTTGATGCCTTCAACCAAATGACTAAGACAAACCCTGAGATTATGCTCTTCAAGGCACTTACGTAGCCAACTATGTGAAACTTGTGCTTATGCCAAGTCCAAGCGAAGTCCTTTTGACTCATCTGCGGTTTTCCGTGCGGCGGTTGAGGACCACCTGTGTCATGGCGGGACTTGGATGAAGTCACCCACCACAACACACACCCCAAGCCATGTACCGCAGGACACACTTGGGCCTCGCTATTTCTTCGCGCTCGCTCGCTTCATCGCCTTGCGCAACGCAACGCCTTCGCTCGCTTCCTTCACGCCTTCAACATACTTCTTCACCACGGCCGGGCATTATGGCATGAGCTTCTGCAGCGGTCGAGGATCTCCTCGGTCACTGCAAAGCTGTCTTCGGCGTAGAGAATATTATGCTAATGCTCTTCAAAAAGGAAATATTCTATGAATTATATAAAAATATTAAATTTAGAAACACAGCTTAATTCTTGACGTGTGGGCTTCTCACAACTCATGAGTCACCAGGTGCTCCAGCACAACGGAGCATTCACCCACTTCCTTGACTCGGTAGGGGCTTGGGATGGTAGCGTTTGTCGACACGGGAGCAGAGCACATAGTCGCCTTCGCTGATATTGTACTGCTCGTACTTTTCGGTCGCCTTCGTCGCCTTCACCGCACCTATTGCATTCTTGTCTAGGACTTCTTTGTGCATAACTCGCAGGCTAGCACCCAGCTTGTCCAGTTTCTTGGGGATGTCCTTGACCGTCCAATCGCATTCTCGGAGTTCCTTGTTTATGCCCACCACGACAACATCCAGTGGAGTCGCCGGGTTGAAAGCCGTATACAGCTCCATAGGCGACTTGCTCGCCAAATGCCGGTGTTTGGTTGAGGTTGGTTTGGACCATTGGCAATAGGTAGTCCCATTATTGTTCAGCTAGCTAGTACTCTCGCAGCATGACCCGCATCACTTGAAGGATATCGCGGGTTATCCGCTCAACCGTCCCATTGCGCCGGGGCAGTAGGCCAAGGTTTGGTCATGATGGACCTTGAACTAGTGGGCCAACGCCTTCATGGCCACGTTTATGAAATGCGTTCCTTGGTCGCTGACCCAGACTCGCGGCATTCCAAACCGCTTCGTCCAGTCCACCAGGGCATCCACGGATACTTGGCTCGTGGGACCATCGCATGCAATGAGCTCGCAGTAGTGGGTAAGATCGTCTTTGAGTACCAGCACGTACATAGCGCCACTAAACGCTTCGCCCTGTAGAGGTAGTCGAAGTGGATTCCTTCGTTGCGCTCTTTCGCGTGCCATCTCGGAGCATACGGTCGATGGACCACCCTTCCCCCTTTTACATGAGGGCACAACAAGCAGCCACGGAGGAATTCACTGGCCATGTCAGCCAAGTGGTCGACATAGAACAGGCGGCGGATTGTAGCCACCAACGCTGCCTGTCCACGATGTCCGGCGCTGCCGCAGTGGGCAACGACTATGATCTGTTGGATCATGTCATTCTCCGTACTCGAAATCCATAGCCTCTCATCCACTTGCCACAGTCCGTCCACCACTGTGGCTCGCTTTGGTTTGTCCTTGTCATGCTGGTCTTGGGCGTAACGGATGTCCGCTACACATGGCCATACAAAGTCCTTGTCCAGCGGCCGCAGTTTTGGTTGTACTGGTGGAGGCTTTGCGCGTTTTGAACTTCTTCGACCAGCCATGTCCTCGACGAATTTTGACCCTCTTGGTCGCCAGACTTGGTGTCGGCTGACCCCAACGGCTCATCATATCCGCCAAAAGGTTGTGGATGCCGTCGATGTGTATGATTTCATAACGATAGCCGCCAATAATGGCAGCCAATCGCATGAGTTTGCCGTGTGTGTGCGCCTTCCTTCACAGTACATCTTGAACCCCGTAAATCGCATAAGCATGTAGTTGAGCTTCTCGCACGTACGCGCAATAGGGTAGGCCTCCATCTTGATGACTGACCACGCCTTCTGGACGCCCGCAAGCATCCCCGTCTGACATAATAGCAGTTCGAGACGTTGTTCTTGGACTGGGCTGCCATCATCGAATACCACCACTTGAGTTACCACAATCGACCATCATTAATTGCTCACGTTCGTAAACAGACATATCGTAGCGTCGTCACGCGGGTGAGACAGTTGCACCAATGATCTTAGCTTGGATTTTACGGCGTCAAACGCTTACTTGCCGTCGGTCAGTTCCAATTGAACACCAGACGCGATCCGCTTCTTCTTGGCCTTGAAGTCGAAGGCCTTCGTCAGACACTGCTGCAGTGGGTCGACGTTCTGTGCGTATTCTATCATCGCGTCCCGCAGCCAGTTCACGGCGCACACAAACTGTTGCAATTCACCCGGATTCGTAGGGTAGGGGATCGCACACTGATGTTCGATGCGTCCAGGGTCTTGCTTGACGTTACCGCTGATGATGCGTCCGCACCACTTGACTTGGTTCGTGAGCAGCTTGGTTTTGGCCGGACTCAGCTTGAACCCGTACTGGGTCACTCGATCGAATAATGACTCGAGGGCATCCACATACACTTCCACTGTATCGGCGTACACAAAGATGCCGTCGATCCAGATCAGCATGTTCTTGTAGAGCAGGTAGCACTCCTCGTTCGTTGATTGCACGTAGAGGGCACTGTCCACATGGCCTTGCATCACCCGGTCTGGGGTGAGGTCAAACACGCCCATCGCTTTCTTGCCACGCAGATTTTGTAGGATGGTAGCTTGGAATGACATTGTCCCCGCCTTCGGCTCGGTTAACGAGTTCTCGATGCGGTAATCGTTGATTAGTCGATAATTCTTGAGCACGTCATCGTCGCTCCATTTGTCGGCCGACTTCAATGACTTGCGCCAATCTGGCTTGAGAACTGGGTTCAACGGGCTACACCACGCACTCTGCTTGTTGCTCTTGATCACGCCGCATCGAGTAGTTCTTGTGCAAACAACTTGAGGAACCTCTCCTCCAGGAGGTTGTGCTTCCTTCCTTTGCATCGGTAAGGAACACACCCATCCTTCAGAGTCACCTTCAGCGGCTTCACTTTCGCTGGTCGGTCTGACCTGTCGAACTTGAGTCGACAGATGTCATGCTTGCTGAGTACATCCCACAAGTACTTTACATGTTCCATTGGAAATCCGTTATCGACTGCGCCGTCGATCATGCCTTGCAGGGCTTCCTTGACTTCGCCACCAACTTCTTCCAGGTCGTCGCCGTCGTCATCCACTTCTAGGCGCGCCACCTGCTCCAGCAGGCGGTCGATGTCGATACCAATGGTCTTGAGGGTGTCATCCGAGACGAGACATTCATCTCCGTTGTTGACCACGTAACAGCGGCACTTGCATGGCACCTAGACTGGTCCAGCGGCCGTCTGCATTGTCAGCGTAAGATCTACGTAGGAGCTCGCTTCGAACGGCATCTGATTGCATGCTGTTCCCACAAATAGCGCAGCCAGCTTGACAACTTGAAGTTGTGGCTGTAACGCTTGAAGTTCATCCACCATGGCTTGGGGCACAATGTTTTGGTCTGCGCCGGTGTCCGGGCAGTATGGAACTTCCAGCACACTGTACAGTCGCACCCAACGTCCATCATCTTCCTTGCTGGGCGGTGGGAGCTTCTTCATTCGCTTCGCTTGCATATTCGCTTTGCGTTCCCGCGCCTTGACAGCTTGACTCCGTCCTTACCCTTCTTCCAGCTTGTATCGCCGCTATCCCCGTCTTTTTTGTTGGGACACTCCCGGTCCATGTGTCCTGGCTGCTGGCAGACAAAGCACAGCATGCCACGGTCTCGCCCAGGTGCAAATCGAGGGCGCCCTTCTTCACGTGTAGCTTGGGCATTGCGGTCGTCGTTTCGTGGTCGCGGGTTCGTTTGTGGGCCGTACTTTGTGGCTGGTGGGTCCCCCGCTCGCTTCTGGGTCGACGGGGACCACACCGCCGCGCTTTGTTCCGGCTTGATATATTCACTCGGTGGACGTGGGTAATTACCTCCGAATTCCCGTTTGTCCCGAACAGCTTGGTTGGCTTTCTTCGCATGTTATATAATGCGGCGTCCTTGCTCGTCTTCTTCACGGCCACGCTTTGATCCATAGCTGTTCCTTTGTTGGTTGACCATGTCGGCATCATGCGTTCGGTCGAGCTATTCGCTTAGGATGTCCGCAAATGCCACCAGGTCGTTCGCCGGCACGGTCTTCATTTGCTCTTCCACTCTGTCGCGTAGGTAGCTGGGTGTGACATGCGCTGCTACCACCTTCACGAACGTTCTCAGCATGGTCGAGTCCTTGGGTTGTTGACGTAAACCGTTCTCGTCGATCACATCATCAACCCACTCCATAAATGAAACCAGGCGACTGGTCACGTCTCCATGGGGATCAACACTCAGCGCCCGACGGTATGTTCGCATGTCTGACTTCGTGGGTATCCACTTGGTCGCTGGTTGCCCGACGACGTCCATGATGAGGTCACGGTAGTCGTCCTCACTGAGTTGTTCCACAGGCACTCGCCACATATACGTGCATGTAGGCTTCAGGAGGCTGCGGTCAGCGGAAGGGATCCACCCCACAGCACTCCGTCGCCACTCGCCACCCATGCCTTGCGCATTCGCCCGTAGCTTTCCGCTTCTTCACCCAACTCACCAGGAAAATTGTGTCCATACAGGTCATCCGTGGGGGTTGGACATCTATCACCACCAATGAAGGTCCGCTGGGGTTGATGATGAGCCCCCACCCTCCGCTGCTTGATGTCGGTGGTCCGCTCGAAAGAGGTCCCCATACCCAACTGCTTGGTAGGGTGGTGTCCAGCATCCGCCGATCATGTGCCGCACGCGCCATTTTGGTGTGGTCGACACGCTTTTACTTTGGGGGACGATTGGCTTTGTTGATCCGCCGCCGCTGTGCTTCCTTATGTTGTTCTTCTTGGTATTCTTTTTCATCTTCCTCGCTGTCGGGAGTACTATCCGGTCGATTCCGTCGTTCCGCACGTACCTTAGCTCGAGCTTCCGCCTTATCGTCAGCTCGCTTTTGGCATCGGACTTCTCTGGCGGTGGGTATTCTTCGTCGACATAGGCGCATTCTATTGTGGGTCGTGGTAATTGTTCCCAGTTCGGTCCCATGGTTTGGCCGCCATATCGCCGCCGCGACTCGTCCCAGGTCATGGACGCCGCTCGCGCACTACCCGTGGGCCAGCTCTTCCATCGTCTTCCGGACTTCTTCGCTCTTGGACTCTTCCACAGCCGGCAGCGCATCCGTGGTCCCTCCAACAACCGGGACCAACAGCGGCTCCGTCACTGGTGGTACTTCCTCCTCAGTTTCGCTGCTCGCAGCTGCTGGCGCCGTTGCAGCGGCCTTCGGCTTCTGGGTGCGATCTTTTGAGTTCTTCGCCATTGTTCTCAGATCCGTAGGTTACTGGAACTAAAGTATACTTTGTGTTGTATTCCACGCCAGTGCCAATACAAACAACCACATGGGGGAGTGCCGATTCCCTGCAAACCGGACAATTGATTGACTTGATGTTACCACAGCGCTGCAGAACCAAGATTGAGATTCCGGCAGTTGGCTGTGGCAAGTGTTCTGTTTTCTACGTCCTAGTACTACTAGTAATACTACAACTTTCCGTGTCGGTTCGCCGAGGTTCGGCATTCGGAGACCACCTGTGTCAAGGCGGGGCTTGGGTTAAGTCACCCACCACAACAAATGGTCGATTGTTGCGCAACAGTAATATCATTAGGGGGAGTCAATTTAGGAAATTTCCGATTTTGTTCGATTGTGAAAAGCAAATTTATATTCTTTTGTATTTTTATAAGCTTCCTCAAAAATCAATGTGGAGTCAATTTGGCCCTCGAAAGTCCGCATTCAAAAGTGGGGTGACGGCAGGTAGGGAGGTTTGGATTCTCGTCGTCGTCGACTGTCGAAGGCTTTCGAATGGCGGTGTTCAATTTCGACACCTCAATTACGACTCACCCTGCACAGTCGTCTTATTTGACGACGAAGTAGTTAGGTATGCTTCTACTATAACTCTTCATGCTCTTAAGCTCGCGCTTCATGCTTCCCTACAGTACAGTACAACATCTTATTTCGTCACTTGCGGTCTGGGCTCTTGGTTGACAATTGGTGACTGACGCTGCGTTTTCGTGTGTTTGTATTAGTATTTGTGTGCAATGGAATAGACTGCGATGATTGGGTATTTTCATCGTTACATGGGTGGACTCCACCAACTTCAAGTTGCTTTTGATTCTTAACAGTAAAAACGAAAAGCACCTCGCGAGGTGCTTTTGATTTTCGTGACGAAAAGCGGAAAGTGAAAAGTAAATGTTTAAGTAGGTAACGATCGCCCAACACATCGTCTACCAAATTCACTCGATATTGTACCAATGCATACGTGGCAGAACTTGTACAGACAGACATGCGTTCGCGGTGCTCTCGCCAATACGAACACATTCGTCCACAGCATCCACCGGAGACCCATAGGCTAGTTGCCGCAATGCAGCTGTTACTTTTTGAAGTATCAAAAGGCCTTGTTTATGTAGAGCGTCATAACGCTGCTCGAACCACGGGTCGTGGAACGTAATGCCGTCGATGATTCGGAGCAATAACCCTCGCTTCATTTTGAATCTGCGACGAAACAACTTCTCCCCACTGATGGCGGGATGACAGAAGCAGCGAACCGAGCAGTTCAGGATCAGAGATGTAATAATTTATCTCTCCTTTTATTGGTGGCATCAAAACGTGCAGCTGTCGTGTGGAAAACTCAGAAAAACTCCTTATATTATATTTTTGGCAGGCACCTTCGAAGCAGTAAACGCCGCTCGAGTGATCAATCGCGATTAGTTGGTTCAATTCTCGATTTTCTCGATTACTATTGGTTGGACGCGTCTCTTGATCCCTATTGATTGGATCGTTTCTCGGTAGCAATTGGTTGCTAATAGTATGGTGGCACAGGTTACTGAATCATCCATGGTCTGCAATGTGTGAACCAAAGCCGCCGGCATATAGGACGCGATTAACCTAATGAAACTATAATAGTCGCGTCGTAACACCCATTCGTATTGTCCATTTTGCACTTTTGTGCTGAATCGCCAAACTACAATCGATCAATTCTTTTATTCGTGTGTACTGAATTTTGTATGTAAAATGGTGTCGTGTGATGATTGGTATTCCACTAATTCGACATAGATTATGGTTTCCTGCAATCTGATTGGCTAAATCCTACTACCGCTTCTTCTGTACATTTCGATGTGTCGATTCCATTCTCCATGTCGCTCCAGTTTAGATAGAATTAACACAACAATATGAATTCCAGCATACGTTTCGTGCCTACCACTCGCGCACGTTCTCCCTGATAAATATAATTTGTCAATGATGCACGAGATTGCAATGAGCATACAAGAGTAGATATCTCCCCCTCACAGAATGGCTTTTGCGTGCTTCAATATCGCAATCCCGTGGCGCTATTCAGGTGCTGCGCCATGATGGTTATTCATCAAATTAAGCTGTTTTCCACAAACACTAGACGAGCGAGTTCGGCCTTCCAAAACCAAGTCGGTAGTATGTTCAACCAAGTGGGTTGTATGTTGGCCATGTCGCTTTCATTATGGCACGCACAAGCTTGACTTTATTCGGCAAGTACGATCCAATGAAGGCACGAGCAGCGCTGACGCGTTCATAGATACCTGGCGTGTCGCCCACACCACCATCAAAGCCCCAGCTGACCACCCCCACCAATCGCACGGTACCGTTTTCTTCGATGGTCAGTGGTCCCCCAGAGTTACCGTGACAGGAGTTTTCTCCTTCCACCCTTGCACCCAACATCGTATCAGTCACTCGCCTGTAGTCACTCGCCGGTAGTCATCCTCTTGATCTTGCCCACGACTTCGTTCTTAAATGGGTTCTGCCGTCGGAAACCCATGTCTACACAGTGCAATGTGTCATAAACCAATCCAAAGGTCTCCAGGTCTCCCTTTGTGGTTTTGCACTCAAACGGCTCGAGAATGCCTTGGGTTTGTCACGTCCACCCCACGGTGACCGGCCGCGCCTTGGTGGGCTATGATGCAAAACCGCTGCTGCAGATCCACAGCGGCGTCGGGGATCCAAAGCTTCCCAGCAACGGTCACGTAATACCTGTCGCTGACGCTGTATGTCACATTAGGGATGGCATCGCCGGCAGCTTTCCAGCCTGCCTTCTGTATTCCCAGAATTTTTTGCAGGCGTCTGCCAAGGGAAATCCTTGTCTCGTAAGGGCGAAGACAACAACCAGTTCTCGCACTTTCCCTACTGCCACAGATAATGGGAACCTCACCGGATGAGCGGGTCCACCCATACGTTTGCTTCACCCACTACATGGTCGATGATGTAAGGGAAGCTCGTCATCACCATAGCCCACCGTTGGAGCTTATGGGCTTGGTATCAAGCGATGTTGATGTTGTAACCCAGCGGGTTACTGTAGCCAACCTGCATAAGAATCAGGAAAATCAGGAATTCTACAACAAATTATTCTAGATTTCTTAATAAAGATTGATCTTTATTAATAATTCCGAATTAGAAAATATTTCCAATTATTTTTTTCATATCATTTTGAACTAAATTATTTTTTTATAATTTTTTAAATAAAAAATGGTTTTAAAATAAATATTATTCTATTTTAAATTTAATTATACCCGTTATCATTAAAGTAAATTAAAAAATTGATAAAATGATATTTAAAATTATAAGAAGACCTCCAGGTAGAGAAGCTTATCCTGGTGATGTTTTTTATTTTCACTCTAGAATGATTACTATTGTAGGTGCTTTAACAGCTTTTTTTGTCAATTAAAAGAATTAGCTATTGAAACTAATCAATTTATAAATAAATAATTATAAATTTTAATTATTTATATAAAATAAATTTATTTATTTTATATAACATTATCAAATAAAAAAACCTTTACTAAAATAACCATAAAAAAAGTAAATAAAGATAAAAAGGACATAAATCTAGACAAATGGGCTATCATGTTTTAGTCTAAAACAATTTTATGAAAAAATTTTAAGATTGGTTTCTTGCTTAGATGTAGGTGGAGCTTATTCTTTATTATTAAACAATAAAAATAGATATAGTTTTAAGTCAACAAAAAATTTGGTATTATGTACCAAATAAAATTAAAAAAGCCATCATTAAAGCAAATAAAGCTATAGCTTCAGTTTTGGATATAAAAAAACAATATATAAATAAATATAGAAAAAATAAATAAAAAATAATTAGATCTAATTTATCTAAAGGTGAAACTAAAGCAATATAGAGTTAACAGCTCTACACTCTAACCAAATGAGTTACTGAAGATTTTGAAGAAAATAGGATTCAAACCTTTGATAGAGTACCTTTTTATTTAAGTGTTTATCGACGAAATAATATTTTTTTTTTATATTTTTTTGAAAATCTGTTAAATAATTTCTAGATAATTGTTGATATAAATTTTTTGTAAAAAAATTATTTTAATAGAATAATTGTAAAGTTACATAAAAAAAGCATAGAGGGGATGCCTAGGCATTAATTAATATTTTTAGGACGTAATAAAAACGAAAAGCTATATGTAATATTTATATATTTTAATATATAGATTTCCTAAAGAAAACTTTTTCTTTGTGAAAATTTTAAACATAGTGAATTGAAATATCTTAGTAACTATTGAAAAAATCAAACGAGATTCCGTGA